GCTTCAGCTTCAGGGCTTGGGGCGAGACATCGCTCTACTACAGCCCTGAGACCCTGCATGAGGCTCAATGGGAAGCTGCGCAGCTTAATGGGAAGTTAGCTTTCTACTGGGGCTGTTTCCTGGATGTGGTAGCCCCCAGAATGCTGAACATTTCAGAACACTGGAACTAGGTGGAACCAATACAAAACTGGTAAGTGTCATTCAACACCTACCAAAAGCCAAAGGCAAGCGATTCCATTTCAGGTCCTCTGTCCGACTGCGCCTTCCATAGGAATCCACAAAGACACCAAACTCTGTAGAGAACAAATCACTGGTCTCATTTGAATATGGCTGGATATTTTTTTTAAAAGGGAGGAAGGCAAGCAAAGGTAGGTTTTGATAACAGAAGTACAAGGGCCATCTTTTGCAGCTGGTGAATGCTACAGCAGCCAGAATTAATGTACAAACAGTGCTGGTTTAGGAATAATTTCAATAGTCCAGATGTTGCAGTTCGTGTCCCCTTTATACTAAGTAAGAAAGTCATTATTCCTTACACATGTAGGAACCTAGCATCTCCAAATAGGTGGAAGCCAGAAGTTATTCATAACTGTGTGCTTGCTGCCCAAGCAGGCACTTATTGTAAATACCTGAAGGATTATTCCTGTTGGCGTTAAAGATGCTTTATGAACTTTTAGGACATTTGACTAAAAGGTCAAAAAAGCATTTCAGTTAAAAAGCATCTTATAACTCTTTGTTTCTCTCCTGAGACAAAAGAAGCAATCTTTTTATGGAAGTCACCGCATCACATAAAGACTCCTCTAGTTTAAATGAGAGTCAGGAATATCTGTGAAAGACAGCATAGAAACAAATGAAGTAAAAATTTGAAATAAATCAAACTGTTTTATGGAATCTCTATGAGTAGCAATTCCATGCTCTAATACAAATATAGCAGTAAGGATATATTACTGACCATGTGAGCAGGACAGTGATAGTGACCTACCTATCTCATAGAGCCAGAAGGGAGTCTAGTCCTCACAGCAGGCCCAAGTACCGTTCCTGACAGATTTACCCCAGATCCCTAAATGGCTCCCTCAAGGATTGAGCTCAGAGTGCTGAGTTTAGTAAGCCAAAGCACAAACTGCTGAGCTATCCCTCCCTCCAAATGAAAGGCTAAGAGAGATTAGCAAGGCTATCAAAATAAAAACCTCAATAATAGTGAGGAATTTCAACTATCCCCATATTGCCTGGGTACACGTCATCTCAGGACAGGATGAAGAGATAAAGTTACTTGATACCTTAAATGGCTGCTTCTTGGAGCAGCTGATTCTGGAATCCACAAGGGGAGAGGCTATTCTTGATTTAGTCCTAGGTGGAGTGAAAGATATGATCCAAGGGGTAAATATAACTGGACCGCTTGGAAATAGTGACCATAATGTAAATTTAACATCCCTGTGGTGGGAAAAACAGCTCAGCGGCCCAACCCTGTGGCATTTAATTTCAGAAAGGGGAAATCACACAAAAATTAGGAGGTTAGTTAAACAGAAATTAAAAGGTAAAGTCTCTGCAAGCTGCATGGAAACTTTTCAAAGACAACATAATAGAGGCAATTTAAATGTATACCCCAAAAATAAAAAACACAGTAAGAGAACTGAAAAAGTGCCACCGTAGTTTAACAACCGACTAAAAGAAGCAGTGAGAGACAAAAAGGCATCATTTAAAAAGTGGAAGTTAATCCTAGTGAGGAAAAGAGAAAGGAGCATAAACTCTGTCAAATTAAGTGTGGAAATATAGTTAGGAGGCCAAAAAGGAGTCTGAGTTTTTGGCTAGCTATTCTTCAAAGTGATCAGAAGCAGGAAGCCTGCTAAACAACCAGTGGGCCACTGGATGATCAAGATGCTAAAGGAGCACTCAAAGATGATGAGGTCATTGCAGAGAAACTAAATGAATTATTTGCTTTGGTCTTCATGGCTGAGGATATTGGGGAGATTCCCAAACCTGAGCCATTCTTTTTAGGTGGCAAATGTGAGGAATTGTCCCAGATTGAGATGTCGTTAGAGGAGGTTTTGGAATTAATTGATAAACTTAACAGTAACAAATCACCGGGACCTGATAGCATTCACCTAAGAGTTCTGAAAGAACATAAATGTGAAAATGCGGAACTATTAACTGGTTTGTAACCTAGCCTTTAAATCATATTTTGTACCCAATGACTGGAAGATAGCTAATGTGATGCCAATATTTAAAAAGGGCTCTAGAGGTAATCTTGGCAATTACAGACCAGTAAGTCTAACATCAGTACTGGGCAAATTAGTTAAAACTATAGTAAAGAATAAAATTGTCAGACACACAGATGAACACAATGCGTTGGGGGAAAAGTCAACATGGTTTCTCTAAAGGGAAATCATGCCTCACTAATCTACTAGAGTTCTTTGAGGGGGGGGTCAACAAACATGTGGACAAGGGGGATCCAGTGGATATAGTGTACTTACATTTCCAAAAATCTTTGACAAGGTCCCTCACCAAAGGCTCGTAAGCAAAGTAAGCAATCGTGGGATAAGAGAATCCCATGGGATAAGAGACTCTCCTGGATTGATAACTGGTTAAAAGACAGGAAATAAAGGGTAGGCCTAAATGGCCAGTTTTCAGAATGGAGAATAACTAGTGGTGTTCTACAGGGGTCTGTACTGGGACCAATCCTATTCAACATATTCATAAATGATCTGGAGAAAGGGATAAACAATGATGCAGCAAAATTTGCAGATAAGCAGACTGTGAAGAGCTTCAAAAGGATCTCACAAAACTAGGTGACTGGGCAACAAAATGGCAAATGAATTGTAATTTTGACAAATGCAAAGTAATGAATATTGGAAAACAATCCCAACTACATGCATAATATGATAGGGACTAAATTAGCTGTTTAGCTCTCTCAAGAGAGATCTTGGAGTCATTGTGGCTAGTTCTCTCAAAACATCCATATAGTGTGCAGCAGCAGTCAAAAAAGCAAACAAATGTTGGGAATCATTTGAAAAGGGATAGAGAATAAGACAGATAATATCGTATTGCCTCTGTATAAAACCATGGTACGCCCACATCTTGAATACTGTGTACAGATGTGGTCGCCTCATCTCAAAGATATATTGGCATTTGAAAAAGTTCATTTTTGTTGCCCTTTTCCGATTAGGGGTTTGCAACAACTGCCCTATGAGGAGAGATTAATAAAACTGGGACTTCTTGGCTTAGGCCTCACTACATCCCCCTCAGTCTCCTCTTTTCTATTAGAAATCCTAGAAGGTGGGTGAGCACACCCACTTCTACAAACAGCTCCCGACCCAGCGTTGTGGGAGGGACCACTGGACCTGGGATTCAATCAGTTCCTTGGGACAATGGAGGGAAAAAAACCAGGGACCTGAGCTATCCCTCCCTCCAAATGAAAGGCTAAGAGAGATTAGCAAGGCTATCAAAATAAAAACCTCAATAATAGTGAGGAATTTCAACTATCCCCATATTGCCTGGGTACACGTCATCTCAGGACAGGATGAAGAGATAAAGTTACTTGATACCTTAAATGGCTGCTTCTTGGAGCAGCTGATTCTGGAATCCACAAGGGGAGAGGCTATTCTTGATTTAGTCCTAGGTGGAGTGAAAGATATGATCCAAGGGGTAAATATAACTGGACCGCTTGGAAATAGTGACCATAATGTAAATTTAACATCCCTGTGGTGGGAAAAACAGCTCAGCGGCCCAACCCTGTGGCATTTAATTTCAGAAAGGGGAAATCACACAAAAATTAGGAGGTTAGTTAAACAGAAATTAAAAGGTAAAGTCTCTGCAAGCTGCATGGAAACTTTTCAAAGACAACATAATAGAGGCAATTTAAATGTATACCCCAAAAATAAAAAACACAGTAAGAGAACTGAAAAAGTGCCACCGTAGTTTAACAACCGACTAAAAGAAGCAGTGAGAGACAAAAAGGCATCATTTAAAAAGTGGAAGTTAATCCTAGTGAGGAAAAGAGAAAGGAGCATAAACTCTGTCAAATTAAGTGTGGAAATATAGTTAGGAGGCCAAAAAGGAGTCTGAGTTTTTGGCTAGCTATTCTTCAAAGTGATCAGAAGCAGGAAGCCTGCTAAACAACCAGTGGGCCACTGGATGATCAAGATGCTAAAGGAGCACTCAAAGATGATGAGGTCATTGCAGAGAAACTAAATGAATTATTTGCTTTGGTCTTCATGGCTGAGGATATTGGGGAGATTCCCAAACCTGAGCCATTCTTTTTAGGTGGCAAATGTGAGGAATTGTCCCAGATTGAGATGTCGTTAGAGGAGGTTTTGGAATTAATTGATAAACTTAACAGTAACAAATCACCGGGACCTGATAGCATTCACCTAAGAGTTCTGAAAGAACATAAATGTGAAAATGCGGAACTATTAACTGGTTTGTAACCTAGCCTTTAAATCATATTTTGTACCCAATGACTGGAAGATAGCTAATGTGATGCCAATATTTAAAAAGGGCTCTAGAGGTAATCTTGGCAATTACAGACCAGTAAGTCTAACATCAGTACTGGGCAAATTAGTTAAAACTATAGTAAAGAATAAAATTGTCAGACACACAGATGAACACAATGCGTTGGGGGAAAAGTCAACATGGTTTCTCTAAAGGGAAATCATGCCTCACTAATCTACTAGAGTTCTTTGAGGGGGGGGTCAACAAACATGTGGACAAGGGGGATCCAGTGGATATAGTGTACTTACATTTCCAAAAATCTTTGACAAGGTCCCTCACCAAAGGCTCGTAAGCAAAGTAAGCAATCGTGGGATAAGAGAATCCCATGGGATAAGAGACTCTCCTGGATTGATAACTGGTTAAAAGACAGGAAATAAAGGGTAGGCCTAAATGGCCAGTTTTCAGAATGGAGAATAACTAGTGGTGTTCTACAGGGGTCTGTACTGGGACCAATCCTATTCAACATATTCATAAATGATCTGGAGAAAGGGATAAACAATGATGCAGCAAAATTTGCAGATAAGCAGACTGTGAAGAGCTTCAAAAGGATCTCACAAAACTAGGTGACTGGGCAACAAAATGGCAAATGAATTGTAATTTTGACAAATGCAAAGTAATGAATATTGGAAAACAATCCCAACTACATGCATAATATGATAGGGACTAAATTAGCTGTTTAGCTCTCTCAAGAGAGATCTTGGAGTCATTGTGGCTAGTTCTCTCAAAACATCCATATAGTGTGCAGCAGCAGTCAAAAAAGCAAACAAATGTTGGGAATCATTTGAAAAGGGATAGAGAATAAGACAGATAATATCGTATTGCCTCTGTATAAAACCATGGTACGCCCACATCTTGAATACTGTGTACAGATGTGGTCGCCTCATCTCAAAGATATATTGGCATTTGAAAAAGTTCATTTTTGTTGCCCTTTTCCGATTAGGGGTTTGCAACAACTGCCCTATGAGGAGAGATTAATAAAACTGGGACTTCTTGGCTTAGGCCTCACTACATCCCCCTCAGTCTCCTCTTTTCTATTAGAAATCCTAGAAGGTGGGTGAGCACACCCACTTCTACAAACAGCTCCCGACCCAGCGTTGTGGGAGGGACCACTGGACCTGGGATTCAATCAGTTCCTTGGGACAATGGAGGGAAAAAAACCAGGGACAGGAGTGCAGGTCACAGGTTCAAAATAAGGGAATTGGACAGGGACAACAAGCAGAGCACCCATTGCTCCTTGAAGCTGTCTAGAGAGCCAGTGGACGTCACCCAGAGGAACTCTGCCCAGATATGTGAGCGAAGGAGCACCAGAAATTGGCCTCACAGTTCAGAACCCCCCGTCCAGCATCCTCCTCCTGGTATTGAAGATGGCAGCTTTTGCCAGGGCCAGGAGGAGGCTGACGAGGAGGTCTCACGACTTTGTGGGGCCACGGAAGGGGTGTGCACAAATGAACAGGTGTGGGGAAAAGTGCAGCCAGAATCTCAGCAAGAGAACAGGGTGACCACCCTAGCCACTCCAGCTGCTAGCCAGCCTCGATGACTGGAGTCATGTGGGTTTCCTGCAGGAAGATCACCGAGTACCTCCCCCTCCTGAAGGAAGGAGAGCACCCAGCTCCTGCGGAGACCCCTCCTACAGCCCTGGGCATTTAATGTGGCAAAGGAGGCAAATTGCTTGATGAGGGCTGGGGTGGATCCTCATGGGCAGGGTGATCATCAGGCTGCCACAGGCCCTGCTAGAGACAACTCCCTCCTGTGGGCCTAGGCTGCAATGTCCTGCCTCTTGGTTCCTCTCCACTCCTGCAAAAGGGCCTTTGTGGCCCTGAGGATATGGTTGAAGTCTCCCCCAGCGCCAAAGGGTGAGCTGCACCTTGTCCTTGGGTCCATGGGTGTCCGTGAGGAACTGGAACAGCTCCGCCTTCAGTGCCACGGTGGTCAAGGTGACAGGATTACCGTCATCCTCCATCAGAACTCCTGAGTAGACCTCACGGGCCATGGAGATGGGCAGGCAGGGATCAGATCCCCAGCACAGCTCCAAAAGCGGTGGTGCTGTGTGACGCGTCCCCATCCCCGGCAAGGGAGGGGGCAGCTGAGGGAACAAGGCAGCCCCTACCTAGAGGACTGGCAATAGGGGGGGCACAAAAACCACACCAAGGGCTGCCCGCAGCCACCGGGAATGAGACTGCTCCCGTGGGGGGGTGGCAGTAACAGTAGCGTGGGAGAGGGATGAGAGAAGGGTGGGCATTGCGGTGGGGGCAGGAGGAGGAGCAGGACCGGGAGTGGGAGCAGGACTGTATGGGGAGATTTCAGCAAATCCAGTAATGTGCCTGAACCACTATTGCTTACTGCTTAAACTTTAGCAACCAAGCTAACAGGCCCAAATTAGACCTAGACCACAGTCAAGGAAAAAAAGGGAGTTTGTGTGCCACAGAGAGGGCAACTTGACCCCTGCGTCCTTCCTGAGGTCCAAATCTCTAATGAAATCGCTGAGCTATACATTTAGAAAAACAGGAAGTTTGTCTAAATGCCCTAAGACATATATCTAGCAGGGCCCCCGAGCATGAAGTATCTGAAAAAGAAAAAAAACGCATCTGGTGAAAGTGATGATCAGAAGAAAACCTCTTGCCCAACCTTTAAAAAGTGCTTGCCTAACAAGTTCTTGAGTGACATGTTATTGTAATACTAATGGATAAATAGGGAAGGAAAGTTTGAGCTAGGGGGACAATTTTGGGGAACACTTGGAGGGACGCCTCGAGGACTCCTTGAGGACTCTTCACGTCTGGACGCATCTCCGTCCCCACCGGCAGACGGAAGACTGGCCATCGGAAGCCTGCCCGGTGTCATGCGAGAGCCACACTCAACTTCGGTAACTATCGAGGGTGGGGGTGTTTTGCTAGCCTGTTGCGGACGTGTGTAAGTGCTTGAGACTAAGTAAAGTTTAGCTTTAAGTGAAAGCACTATTGTGTTGTCCTGTTTGTACCATCCATCTATCGGTCAGACGACTGTGTCTCCCCTGAATTATTTCCTGACACCACCTCGCAGAGAGTAAAAGTTACCGAGAGGTTTGGGTTGAAAGAACCCCAGGTAACAGAATTAGGACAGGGATCAGAGCTGTAGTCAAGGAATAGGCAAGGTTACATTCCCCAGGGCCTAAGCCACCAGGTTGCGATGTTTCCTGATCGGGTTTGGGGGACGGGGGTGGAGAGGGGGCCCGCCCCGCCACCGGGCTTGGGTGTCACAGTGGACTGTGTCTGAAGCCACAGCGTTGGACAAGGTGGGAGCAGCAGGTGGGCTGCAACAGGGAGGGAGGGGAAACGCTCCGG